GTTGAACACTATATGTTTGTTCTAGTAGAGGATTTTAATCTGATGGACTCGTTCCCATGGGATAAGTCACTCTTTGAGCGACTAATTAGTTCATTGAGTGAGGGGTTGAGCAAGAGAACGACCCATTATAGACTACGAGGTCTTCTAATAGCGTTTCAAGTATGGATTTACGAGATGATCCCTACCCTCGATGGATATGTAGCAATAAGGACCTCAAGAACGTATCCCCAAATAATGAATTGGACGACAGACGATCACCCACATGCTGCTAAGCTTGACGGACCTGATTGCTTCTGTAATCCTGAAGTAATTATCTTAACACCATTTACTATTCGTCAATGCATCTCAAATGTGCTTATCCTTAAGTCACAAGTTGTAACACAGAACTTAAATAGTTGTGTATCTAAGTCAGAGATTATACACATCAAGTCACAACATATGTTCATTGACTCACAATTAATAATATACAGGTCACAGAACACACTCATGACATGCATCACACGGTTATGATCGGACATATACCCAGTTACTGTTACAGCTCATTGCTTGGATTTATTATTTTGTACATCGATATAGTGTGCTGACATTACAATGTGTCTGTGCTTGGAATGGCAGATGGAAATATGTGACCTGGACCCTTCAGACATGGAAATGGCAATGCCGTACACGTATGAAGTGCAATATATCAAGCCTGTCCAACCGTAATGTGCACGTGGGAAAAAGAAAAAGGGAGGTATGGTGGACAGATCCGTTCATTCCGTCAAGGCAACTAGGAAGCCGAGTTACTCGAGTGAAAAAATATCTACGCCGCTGCTTATGATTACGGATGGCAGACTTGGTCACTCTGATGTGCCTCTCGATGATGGTGATGACGATTTTGTTGACACCCCACCCAGATGGCAGGGAACAACGTTCAATGCCAATTCGCCTAGTAGGGAGGATCAGCCGGCGCCAAACGATGTAAGTTGTTAAATAATGTCAGCTGTGGGTCACAGGTCACATTTTCTAGCTAACGATTTTTTTGTCAATTCATTACGGGTCATAGGTTATTCCACCTTTTGCTGTTTTCATAAGTCGTCGTGTACACACGTCACATGTTATAGAACAGATCACATGTCACAGATTATGTCACATTCAGTTATTATTTTTGGTGCAACATCGTAGTTTGTTTCTATGTCACAATTTATAGGTCATTGATCTCTCAGTTCATTATGGGTCGCAGGCATCTGGACTATAGATGTTTTCACCATTGTATTGCCACTGATAATGGGTAGTCATGTGGTGCAAGTGGTTGACGAAATGCAAAAATAGTTTTTCAAACAATTAACTGAACTCCAAACTGAGAATCGTCGGATGAGTGTAGCAATCGATGCGATGAAATCAGAGATATCGTCGCTCAAGCATGATCAGCAAATAGAGATATCGTCGCTCAAGCATGATCAGCAAAACAAATTGAACAATATTGTCCACATGCAAGGTGAAATCTGTACAGACTTGATCGACATTAGATCGAACTTGCAGTTTATGATCGAATCTGTGACCGCCTTGATTTCTAGTTCCATGGAAGAAATCCTGACCAAATTCAGAGATAAATATGGGTTAAACATTGTCAGAGATTATGAACCTTTGGACAAGGTAATCAACATACCATGTGATCTCATAAAATGATATATGTTCATTTGTCATATGAATTTTAACTATGATTATACATTTTATGTTACAGGTTGGAGATACCGAAATTACAGTTGATTCTAAAGGCAAGGGTAAGATGAAAACCGACGTTGACGTTGAATTTCCATATAGCCTACAACCTCCATCCTTCGATTTGGGTGTTTGTTTCACGCAACCAACACCCATAGAACCAACGAAATTGAAAAAGGTGGAAACGTATGTTGCGTCTGTCGTATATGATGTTCTGAAGGACACGAAATCTGCTGAGAAGGTGGTAAGCCCAGATAATTTCGTCAGATATGTAAACTACTGTACGTTGCATGTTTCAGCAAGTTACAGCCATATCAAATTAATATGCAGGAGTCTCCTGTTTCTGCGCCAAGTTCTGGATTGCCCGTTAAGAGGGCTCCTAGGCTGGCTAAAGCACTTCAATCTCTGTATGTTCATGAAGGGAGGCAAAACAAGCATTCTAATAATGTCGTAATCTTCCAACACTACAATCAGTCTGTGGACCATGCCAATATTGCTGACTTTTAGAGTTGGTTCCAGAGAGAATATAAGCCACATAACAAGTATGATTTATTTTTTGTATATCATTATAATTAGTGTGTGTATGAATATTCAATCAAGTTTTCTTTGCAGGAAAAAGTTTAATGATCGAGATGATCGTATTCGTCCACCTTTTCTTGTTGGTCAGTTCCTCATCGGAAATAAGACATGGTGGTACGAACTTGTGTCTAGGGATGTGTCATTGAGTAGTTCGGTATGTATCCTTTTGTAAGTCTCAATTCATATGAGTAGGTCATAGATTCCATGGTCATGGTCATAGCCAAGTAACTATATGTCACTGCCCACATCTCTCTTACGTTTCAGCGTCTATAAAGTTCGCAATGCGATACACGTGTTTCATATGTCCCAATGCGGATCACATTTTTGTATGCATAACAGGTCACATGTAATGGTCACAGACCATTTGAGGTTGGTCACAGATAAAGGCAAATAGGTCACAGTTTATTTACAGAGTGCACTCCAGCATATTTTCTGGTCTCATTTCACCCTGCACAATTTAGAATATGGTGGTACGAAGTTGTGTCTAGGTATGGGTCACTGAGTTGTTCGGTATGTATCTATTTGTAAGTCTCAATTCATTTGAGTATGTCATACATTTCATGGTCATGGTCACAGCCAACTACCTATATGTCACTGCCCACATCCCTCTTACATTCAATTTATAAAGTTCGCAATCCCATATGCATGGTTCGTATGTCCCAATGCAGGTCACATTTTGGTATGCATAACAGGTCACATGTAATGGTCACAGACCATTTGTGTTGGTCACAGATAACGGTGAATAGGTCACAGTCATTTACAGAGTGCACTCAAGCATATTTTCTGGTCAGAGTTCACCCTGCACAATTTATATATCAATTCAATCTCATAGTTTTCCATTTTTTTAGCATATGGATGTGTGCTTCTACTACATACGTCAGTTAGCAAGTAATGGCAAAAACATCAAATTCATCGCCACCACGATTGACACGTTCTTTCAAGCCAAGCTAAAGAACATGTACCACAAGTTCAAGTAAGATCCAGAGGTAATTGTCACAGATGAGAGACTCATTGACGACATCACAGGTGCACGAATTCCACTGAGCAAATCTTGGGCACAAATGGACCTTGTGTTCATGCCCATTCTGCCTACAAACAAAGTGCATTGGATGCTTGCAGTGTTTGATATCAAAAAGCAGACCTTACTTGTATTAAATTCGGCAAGGGAAACATACAATGACATCAAGGTCCTTATCGGAATTGATCCTTTCGTCAAAATGATCCCTCACCTCATGGACCATATTGGAATTTGGAGAAAGGATTCAGATCCATCTGCTGACGATTCCAAGGAGTTGAAGGTGGTGCTTAATTCCTCCATCCCGCAACAGAATAATGGGTAATTTTTGTCACCGAGAATTTAAACATACTGAAATAATATGATTCTACACATAATGGACTGGAATTTTTTTCACTTTGCAAGCAGAATTGTGGCATATATGTGATTAAATATGCCGAGTACATGCTTTATGACGATTTAGGATCGATGTCGATGAAATTTGATGCGGCTGGAGCACGTCTAGATGTTGCATCATTGTTATTCAAGCACCGTAAAATCAGTACAAAGAGGAAGACGTTGCTGCCAACCAGTGGAGATAGTATAGTTATTGAGTGACATTAGAGGTGTAGTTTGAAAATGCAGTAGAATGGAATGTGAAGTGTGGTTATGGATAATTTTTTAGTTTGCTTTGAGCAATGGTGTTGTGTTCTGGGGATACTCTTTTGTATTTGATTTAAGCAACAATATTTAAGCAATAGTTTGAGCTTTGAATTTCATGTGTCTTGAAATTATGTTTTGAATGTATTATTCAGCTTGAGATATTATGTCACACACCTAACATGTCACAATCAGTATAATATTCTTTATGCACAACCATAGTTCGCTGCAAAGGTCACAGGCAACTGTAAACATGTCACAGAAGAAGTCACCGACCAGGTCACAGTTTGATGTATATTGTTTATATCACGGACAACTGGAAACAGGTCACAGCAAAAATCACATGTTCCAACTCTTATGCACAGTCATTGCCAATAGGTCACAGTACGGGTCACATGTCACATAAAAGGTCACCTAACATGTCACAATAAGTATAATATTCTTCGTGCACAACCATAGTTCGCTGCAAAGGTCACAGGCAACTGGAAACAGGTCACAGTAGAGATCACATCTTCTAATTCCTTATGCACAATCTCTTGCCAACGGGTCCCAGTACGGGTCACATGTCAAATAAGAAGTCACCGAAAATGTTGCAATAAGTATAATATTCTTCGTACACAACCACAGTTCGTAGCGAAGGTCACAGGTCAATGTTCCAGGTTCACATAACATCTAACAGACCTTTTTTTTCCTGTGACACCCCAAACTCGTTTATTATGAAGTTAATGTAACAACCTCCCCTCCCCCAGTGAAAGTTCGCACTGTAATGGTCACAACACATGTCACAGGTTCTTTTAGGGTATACCCAATCCCCACCTGTCATGTTTGCTTGTATTTAAAAATGTGTTCATGTGGAAAGAACATTACAAGTACAATGGTAAAACATCTTTATTATAAGGTTTGAACTTTGAAATGTTGTTATTAAATAAATATTTGTGTCCTCTAACAAATTGTGTCTGATATTACGTTCAAACAATGAATGAAAAAGTAAACCAACTATCTTAACGAAACCAAACTGTTGCAAGTTTCGTGATATGTATCATCAGTTGACTTCCTTATATTTTCTTTATTTTTTCGATTGAATCTGACTTAATGGAACCAAACTACTACAAGTTCTGCAATTTTGACCACTTTCATCGCAATGACCGCATTTGACGGTTATGTTATCTTCAACTGCAGATCTAAACATCTTCTCAGTAGGCCTTCCGCAACTTCGCTTTTGATTAGGTGGTAACACGACTATGTTCTCAAAGTTTTTGGGCACTATCCATTCATTTTGACTTCCTACAGGGAAAACAGTTTCGTTGTAAGTATTCTTGTATGCTTCTCTCGTGTAATAATATGAACAAAACTCATATGGATTCATCTTTACACTTGCATTCACAGTCAGAGCGTGTGGACATGGTAGTTGATCAACTTGAAGCATCCTACACGTGCATGTACGTCCTTCTATATCAACAAAAAAAGTTAAATTTTCACATCTGGCTGAGAACATTACCTGATTAATACGCACAACCTACAGCCAAAAAATAATATAACAAATGTCACTAAGAAGTTGGCCACAACGAACAAGTTACAGGTCACAGATAACATTTCAGGTACAAATGTTGACATTACCCTCAAGTTTCTAATATCCGTGCTCATTTCCCTCATTTGCTTCTCATACTTGCTTGACAAGGTTGTGAAAGTGATTTGCGCGGATTCCCGATGTCTACAAAACCACGACTGAATGGTTTGTCGCAATGACTCCAACAAAGCTACAATGGGATAATTCTTGGCAGATTTTGTGACCGCATTAACCGACTCTACTATATTCAATATCATTGTAAAATATCAATTCGTTGGCATGTGAAATCGTGACCATTTAGCGGGCCCAACACCGTCCTACAAACATAAACATGATTATCTGTTAATGATATACTTCACAATACTGTAATAAATGTATGCACAAGAATATAACTTGGTGGTAATATGTAATATATTACCAGGTAATCCCTTATATTTCCATTAATCGCGTCGAGCTGTTGCATGTTATATTCATATTCTGACAACGTGTAGGCACGAACAGCTGAATTAAATGTTTGCGTTATATTTTTACCCGATTTTCCATAACGTGACTTTAGATTTTGAAGGAGATGATACGAACAAATTCCATGACATGTTCCTGGATACACCTTCTCAATAGCATTTTTGATGCCATTATGGCGATCCGATACGAAACACAACTCTTCTCTATAGTCGTACGCCTTCCTCAAATTTTCGAAGAACCATGTCCACGAGGCATCATTCTCACTATCCCCAATCCCAAAAGCAAGTATGTATATGCTATTATTTGCATCCTATGTACATGCCATAAATAACGTCTCACCATAGTGTCCATTTAAGTACGTGTCATCAACCTCAACAACTGGCCTACAATATCCCTAACCTCGAATTGATGCGCCTAACGCCATGAAGCAATATTTGAACCTACTGTGACCATCAAGCTCCAGATCTATGATCGTTCCAGGATTTGTATGTTGCAACACGACAATGAATCTTGGTATATTATTAAAAGAATCTGCTGGATCAACCCTAATCAGTTTCAAAGTTTTCTCCCAAGACCTCCACGCTTTCACATAATTCAACGATACTCCATACGTATGCAACACGTCATTACGTATATCATTTGGGGTATACAGAGTGCGTAACGATATGTACTTGTATTTTATGCAGTGCGACACAAGTGTTTTTATTGCTTGCCTATGAAAACCAAGTAGAATGTTAGAAGCACATCTGTGACCTTCTACAATATGCCTAATTTTAAACAAGTCCGTTCTAGCCATCCTAGATGCTCTACAGATTCAATCACACTCGTCATGTGAACACTTGACAAGATAATCCTTCTTATCTGATCGAACAACCACATATTCAAATATGTTTTGGATCGCATAAAGGGACAAGCTCAGCTTCATTATCTCTTTGTTACGAAAAACCCTTCCCATCTCTACGTACCTGATACAACCGTGACCTCATGCTCATAGTTGTCACACAACGGTTCTATTATCGCCCCGCATATATCTTATGACATATCCATCAATAAAAATTTCGGTCCATTGGGTTCCACACCAAATGGTAACATTGCATTGTTCTGTTGGCTATCACCATTGGGTTCCACACCAAATGGTAACATTGCATTGTTCTGTTGGCTATCTTCTTCCGTGACCTCAATGATGATTAGATATTTGGATGGGTCACGTTCCATATCTTTCAACGCCATGTATGACAACACATTATTGTCATTCTTGATCACAATTGGAGGCAGTTCACTATTCAAAACATACTTCATTGTGACTACCACTTCAGTGGGATCCAATCCAATCTCAGCCACAACTGTATCCACCAGTTGCATGTACCCTCAATTACGATCAATTAAGACCAACGAAGGCTCTAAGCCATTCAATAGGCAAACATGTATGAATCCCATTTTTGCAACATCAACTAGAATAATGTCAATTACAAAACAAGGTGTACGTCACAACTAATGAATAACACAAATTATGACACGAAGTCACATTTTGCGTGTAACAGCAAATTCGTCACAGTTTCATTGCAAAAGGTCACGGCATCATGTCACATATGTAAAAGTTTCAAATGCAAATGGAGATCAGGTCAGAGTATCAAGTCACAGATATTGAAAAGGAGTCGCAATATGTAGACGAGAGGAAATGCGTCACCAATTATAATGCAATTAAGATCACGGTCATAATTCACATATAATAGGGATTCCATCGCAGTGTTTATCAGGCAGCAAGCGAATTGTGAGATTAATTGATTTTCAATGACGTACCCGATGAAAACCAAAACCCCTGAATACGACGACGGCTGCTGAATTGGATGCCGTTTGGACGAATCCGTTGACTAATTTGCTGTTAAGCGATTGTCTTTCCCCAACTGTGACCTAGATTATGCGATTGACGTCAATCGAAGGAATTCCATCAACAACAAAAAAAAATGCAAATTCATTTTTTTTGTCGTCAGCTTGGAGAAGGAACATTTTATTTCAGGGATGTAAATCTGTTATGATACAGACTGGCGTTGATGGAGATACGTTCCTAGTTTTTAGGAAATTGATTTGGAAAGAGATTTTGACATACAGTTGTTTATGAAATCTGATTTCAAAAAATGTAAACATGTTACCTTATTTTTGAATTGAGCCAAATTTACTATCGGTAATATGAATTTTTCCCAACATAAAAACCTTAAAATAGCAAAGCATAAACCACAAGTCCAAAAAAGGAAAATCAAACCTGAAAATGAACTCCAAAAAATTAGAAAATGTATAAACTCACATGAAATCTAAATGAAAGCAAGACACAGAACAAGATATGCGCACAAAGGAAAATGAATACTACAAAAAAGAAACATAAAAAATAATTATAGATTTTTTTGCCAAGCACGAAAATCATCTAATAGTATAATAGTAGTAGATCGCAGTAGAAAGGAAAAGGTTCTGGAGAGCGACTGTTATGGTTAACATCGAATGACGATAGAAAATGAAGGCAAACAAGAATAAAAATCCGATGTTAAATGACTTTGTTTTCAGATTTTATAAAATGACGTCATCATCTTGAACTTAAATGACACCATTATTTTCATAAATGAAAATATCATCGTTTTAATTTCTGAAAGGGAAAAAAATTAAAAATGAACCATGCAAGGAAGTGGCACCACGTGGTTCAATGCACATTGGCATTGCATTGCCTCTTTTATTATACTAGTGAGTTGAACGTGTGTTGTAAATTAGTTACTTACTATTAAAAAAATGTATGTAAATTTTAGAGAAATTCATTTATAAATGACAATGTCGGAGGAAAATGCCTAATCTGCAACAAGAGCGCAGAACAAAAAATTTACATCTCAATTTCTTATAAAACCTGAAAGATAAATTGCAAGTTCTGCTTTTTATTAGCAGTCTACAAATATCAAATATTGATCTCCTGTTTCACTATTTTTCAACACTCGATCCTTTTAACATAACTATGGAAGTAATTTCGTTACTCACCCATATTTTGAAGCATAGTCCAAGTAGATGACAACATTCACAGAACTCCTATAGAAAAAAATACACTGTACTCCATTAAAAATAAAGAGACCATAACAACTCCATCCTTTTAATTCGATAGGAAATCAATTAACACAAATTACAAAATTTTGCAGGAACATCAAAGTATTGAGGAAACAAATTTATGTAATTTCTATCTCGTTAAAAACTAAAACAAACATTAAAAAAGATGGAGGAATTCCTTTTTCGAGAAAACAATAAATGATAAAATAATCAAACAGGGAATTGAAAGAACAAACAAAAACATTGAAAATTCCAAAACTAAGGGATTATGAAAATAAATAATAGAACCACGTAATGATGCTAGTAAAAAGTTGAGGACTAAGAAATGGAGATATTTAAACTTCTGGTTTTGCTTAATATAAACATCATAAATAATCATGACATATCCTACAGCTATGTAACCATTAAGTACTAAACAATTTATGCATTTAAGCCCTTGTGTCTATGATTCAACAACTTGAATGTTGGTGTATCATATATCTATAGAGCCCGTTTGAGCCACATTAATTGTAGAATGAGAATGAAAAATAGAACCGTTATGGGCCCTACACAAGAGATAGAAATTCAAAAATGGTGACTTAATGTAATGGATAACGATCATATTTTTCATTTTAATGAGGTAAAAATGTGGCTCAAACAAAGCCATAATATATTCAATATCACATCAAGAGAAAATGATTTTTTAGACGCTTTTAACCCCCTACAATTCAATTATTTCAATAATACCTTACTTTTCATTTTTCGATATTACATAATTCTTGTCATTTATGATATTTGTATTATTAATTCTCAATTAATTACATTCACATTAGCCTAGATTCAATGAATTTTCACTTAATGAATCTTGGATAACATGAATCTAGAGTTATTACAGATGAATTTATTCATATAAATGTATCTAAAAATTTTAAAGGGTGTTTAAATTTACGTATTAACAATTAATTTTTATATATCAAATGTAATATAAAAAGATTGCTCATTTAGAGTATTTCATCAATACAAAAAATTTGAATAATAGAAATTAAATTTTGGAAGTACAATTTGAGTATAATTTTCTTCTCTTAAATTTCTATGCTAAATTTTATTTTTTAATTCGTCTAAAACTCATCAAATCCTCCAACAGATTGGTACCAAATATTACTTTTACATCACTTATAAAATATTTTAGAATAACGTGTAATGCACGTTCAACTTTAACTAGTAAATCTAAAACAACAAACAGTAAAACAACATTTTATACTTTCCATCAACAAGCAAGAATAATAACATCAAGTTATACGATTTAGTAGTGCAAGCCAACCAAATTGAGCAGTACATTGAGCTTTGGTTTGACAAGAACACTTGCATCTTTTCAAATCCAAACTTCATCAATTCAACTGCTTTCAAATAGTTCCCAACTTCAATCGACTCATTCATTACCAAAGTTGCATGTTCAACCATCTTGTTGTATTTGTTTACATATAATCCCATCATCCCTACAACCAACAAAAAAAAAAATCAAAAAACTATAACTATAATCGATGAAATAAATTAAAGATATCATCAAATGTAAGATTTGATATCTCGTTAATAAATTGAATTCATAGAACTAGTGTGTACCATTATCAGTACAACACCACTTGAGAAATAGTCCTTGTTTGGGGTCCATTGTTCAAAAATACATTTTTTTTTCCCTTCTTATTTTCAACCACACATTCTTTAATAAATTAATATTATAATAAATCTAATACTTTTTCTTATTTTTTAAATCTTGTAAATATATTTCATTAGGCACAATTAAATATAGCCAAATTCAAACTATCATCGGTATACTTACTCTGCCATATCAATCTTTTATTTTCGTTTTTATTTCTCAAACAAATATACTTACAAATATATAAATACATTTAATAAAATTAAACAAAACCTGAATACCTAAATAGTGATAAATTCACTTCATTTTCTTAATTTGCTTGTTGCAAGGTTTCAGTTAATAAAAAAATTAGAAGAAAATGATCCACTAGGCAACGTCCAGGATAAAAAAATAAAACATCTAAATATAAATTATGAAAATTTCAACAAGTGGCCTAGATTTTAGCTTAAATAAATTGAGAAAAAGAATTGTAATCTCCTAATAAAACAAAGAACAAAAGAAGAAATTGAGGTGAAATTGATTACCTAGCATATTGAAGACAAAAGTAAAAGTCCTAGCAATTTTTCTCTAGAATGGTAGTGATCATCTTTGGAAAAGTCATTCCTTGAAGCTTCCCTTCAGCAACTCCCTAAAATTACCAACAAACTAAAATGTAAGAAGAAATTATCACCATTCTACAATTTCTCTACAAGTATTGTAAAGAGACAATAAACACAAATCAAGTCCAAAATAGCAAATTAACTCTTCTTCAATATGACACCGGTGTTTCGAAGCAGATACTAAAAGGTAATGATATGTCCTTCTTCCTATAACATTTAAATACCATTAGCATCTATATCTTGAAAATTTTATGATGCATTATGACACCATTAAAAATATTAACTACAATCTTACACTAAATTATAATCCAGTCACTCTCAATGGCCATATAATTTCCAGCATAAAGTACCTCCTTATGTTAAAAATGTGAAATAAGTAAGCTTAAAAAATTACCTCATTCACTTTATTAGGGATAACATTCATTTAAACGTTTTTTACTTTTGGGTGTATGTTGACATTTTAACAAACTACATTTCCAGTAAATTAAGAGACGAATTCATGACACTACTCGAGTCATGGTTGTTTGATCAAAACAAAATATGAGTTAACCATGTATATGTATAGAGATATAAGCATAATAAAATTATTTACATCATACCTGAATATTATATAAATCAATCTATTGACTACAAAATGAACTAAAAACGAATTATTAGAACAAGAAAAATGGAAGCACAAGTGATAACACCATGCATCATTGTCTAATCAATTCTCACCAAAAACCCATTCAAACGTAATACCCCTCATCGAGAAGCTCTTTGCATCTCTGACCAGCTTCAACTACTCCTAATGCTTTCTTACGCCACTCATGTTGAAGTAGCCTATATATGTG